CATGCTGTTACCCACTCTGGCCCTTTGGTTTAGAACACCCTCCCTCCTGCTCTGTAGCTATGGAAACTCTGCCCACCTTTGAAAGCTTAGTTCAAGCTCCAGCTTGTTGGGCAAGCCTCTTCTTGCCTTCCCTTCCCTTCCCTTCTCCCAGTAACCTTCCTCTTTTCTGAACTCCCATAGCACACATTATCTATACTAGTAATTTCCCTGCATTCTACTCTCTTACAGCTCTTTCTTTTCCTTTGTGGCACTTAACACTGGGTGCATATATATAAAGTTCATGTGCATGCCTTTCGTCTTCAACTAGATCTTAAGTTACTTGCAGACAGGAAAGATAATGACTTTTTTGTACCTTTTACAGTACCTGGGCATGCATGTGCTCCTAAGATTTGTATGTATCTTGTCCCTTAGAAATCAGGGTTGCTGGAATAAGCATAAGACCAAGAGCCAGGAGAAATGAATCAGAATCTCACCTCTGACCCTAACTAGTTCTGTAACCTTGGGCAATGAACTTAACTGCTCTGAGCTTCAGGTTTCTCATCCACAAAACAAAGGAATACCTGCCTACCTCAATCCAGAGGGTTGTCATAAGGAACACACACACCCTTTGTACAGTGCTAAACACCACAAACATTGTAAGTATGTAGCTTCTATCAGGGTTTTTGTGACTGCAAGCAACAGGAACCAACAACTCTGGCTAACTTGAGCAAAAGGGCGTCTTTATTGGAATAGCAGAGCAGACTTCTCACAGAATTAAAGGGTGTCTGGAGACCAGTCTTGGAAACAGATATGGGGTGCAGGGCAGCTCTGGGGGCCAGGCAGCAGGAACTGTTTGACCAGCTCATCAGATGCATCTCCAGAAATGAACTAGCTCTAACCAAGTTTCCAAATTTGTACCACTCCATCAGATTCACGTCCTGGGACACAGTGGTTGGCCAAGCTTTGAGTATGTGCCCCTTGGTTACAGCAGTGCAAGTCACCTTGGTTTGCAGTCCCACAAGGACTACACACAATGGAGGAAGGTCAAGTCCCTAAACAAAATAGGGGTGATGTTATTAGAACTCAAGTGAATGAATGCTGGCTAGCCATAGAGCAGCAAATGCCCACCACGAGGCTTAATAAACACGTGTTGATTGAGTGACAGTGGCCCATTCCTTTGACTCTGAAGACATCTTGCACTAAAAGATACTGTAAGCTACTTCTTTCAGCCTTATCAGTGAACACCTTGGAGAGCACCAGTTTATCAGCTTCTTTCTACCCACGGCAGCTAGAACAGGAAGGAGAAACAGAATGACTACGGGATGGAGGGAGGGCGCCAGGAGAGAAAAACAAACTCTCAGCTCTGGCACCACTTGCTCAGAGAAGTCTTTCCTGACCTCCCTGACTAGGTCGAGCCTCCCTGCATTCTACTGTCTTACAGCTCTGTCTTTTCCTTTGTGGCACTTAATACAATGCAAGTTACATTTATCAGTGCTTTCGGTTAATGGCCATTTCTCCCATAAGTTGTCGTCTCTGTGAGGGCAGGGCCATGATCTTTCTGTTCACCCTGCATTTCTATTACCAGTGCCAGAACCTGGCATATTCTAGGTGTTTACTAAATACTTATTGGATGAATGAAATGAGTGGATATATGAAGGAATAAAGTGCTAAAAGGGCCAAATAAGTTGATCAGCTGCAGAACTAGCTGGGGTAGGTCCTTCCCACCACAAGTCAGGGGCAGGCTCTACCTTTCCCTTCCCGGGCACATTGGGTGGTGGGAGGGAATTTAAAAGTAGCACCAAGTTAGCTAATGCACCATCACTAGGGGCTGGGCCACCCTGGCCTCTTTTCTAGAATCTTCTCTTGGAGGGGAGAAGGCCCATCAGGTAGTGGCAGCAGGAATCCACAGCTGCTGGGGTAGGAAGCGAGTTGTTCGCACTCTGATGTGTGGTACACCCTCCTCGCTGTGGGCACCCACCCACACAGGAGCATCGCCTACATGGATGTTATGCGCCCCAAGAGGCCAATCTGCATGTGCCTCTTTAGACAAAATGCTCAACAGCTCTCCAATTTGTGCTGCACTTCACAGTCTACAAAGCTTTTTCCTAATTATTTCCTTTGATGCTTTCAATAGTCCACCTGTAAAACAGGCACATGACATTGGCCCCATTTTATAGATGAAGAAATGAAGGCTCAAAGTCTGGCTTAAGGTTAAATATCTAGGGAACTTCAAGCCCAGGTAATCTCTAATTCTCCATACCATCCATGTGTAGAGGGACTATCTTTTAGCATAAAAATGTCTCAAGGCCTTCTTTTGAGCCCTGAAGTTAGCTCTCACCTTCTTGCCATTGAACACAATGTTGCGACATGGTAAACAAAGGGCTTCAGGAGAACAGTGTATGAATTTGGCTCTGATTCAGTTGTAATTCTTGATGGTACAGTTTTATTCTAGTTAAATCACATTAGCTTTCATCCCAGTTTGGATTGATTTAGAGAGAGAAAGAAAGAGACTGAGAGAGATAGACAGCCAAACGTTGATTTCATTTGCAGTTCAGTTAAAAATTTATTTTGTCTTTGAATTTGGAATTGACAAAGCAACTTGATTCTCTTCCCGTTTTTGATTCACGTTAGGTTAACTCAAGTTTCTCCGAGGCAGCGAAGGCTCGGCTAAGGGACCCAGTCTCTCCCCTCCGATCCCAGCCCTAACTCATCTTCCTCCCTGACGCAGGTCATGAAAAGCAGGTGACAATGGCTGGCAGGAGAAAATCCCCTGTGACCTGGCTGCTCCTCCTTGAGGTCAAAGTTCTGAATGTGACTTCATAATTGGAATTTTACCTGCATGTTTTAAAACAAAACAAAGCACAAATCACACACCCCCACCCCCACCATTCTGGCCCAGGCTGTTGATGGTCCGCACTGGGATCTAAGGAAGTTATGGTGAGAAGCGATGGGGAACCTCCCAGCTCAGGTGAACGAGGGTGCGTTCTTTTCCCTCCCATAAGCTCTCCATCCATGACCAAACCCCAGGAGCAGGTCTGGCCCACAGCTCAGCAGCCAACACACCTTTGCCACCTGCCACAGGCCCAGTGCAGGGCAGAGTGCCTCGCACACATTCTCGCCTGTCCTCGCAACCCTCTGAGTTAATGACAAGCACCAGCCCTGCCCTATACATGAGCAATCAGCTCCCTGGAGTGAAGGAACTTTCCTGGGGCGTGCAGCTGGTAAGTAGGGGAGCTGGGTCTGCAACCTAGACGTAACCACTTCCAGTTGGAACAGGAATAGAAGATCGGAGACAACCAGTCCCCAGCAAAAGCCTGGAAGCCATGAGCACAGCCTTCATTTTGCATGGAAGAGAAGTGTCCTCTAACCCAAACTCCCTCCCAATTCAAATTTTATGTTTGCTTAAGTAAAAAGCAGAAATTTCTATTGTGTTTGAGCCATTATAAAATTGGGGGAGCTATTGGTTGCAGCAGGTAGCATTAGCCTGTACTGCATATGGGCACCTAACCCACCTTCGCAGGCTTCTTCAGGAAGGCCGAGTGCACTGATTCTGAAGGATGAGTAGTTGCCAGCTAGGCAGACACACGGGGCGAAGGTCCTCTGCCTAGACGCTCTTTGGAAGCTGGAGTTGGGAACTGAGGCCAGCCCAGCGAAAGCCAGTCTGAGATAAGGCTTCCTTGGCGGGCTCCTCCTGCCGGCGTGGCGTCCTCCATCTCCCTCCTTCCAGGCCCTCAGCGAGAGCCAGAGCCAGCTTCTAGCATGGAGTGGGTGAGCCAGAGCTGGGTGTTGCAGGGTTCAAGTAATTGCAGGTGGGGGGAGAAGACAGACAAACAAATGACGCCATCCTTTGAGTATGTCTTCTGGTCTTAACATTCATGCCATTCCTGTCTTCTTTCTCTGTGGTCATAATGGCTCATCCAACATGTCGCATTAAAACTGCTGAGAACTTCGGGAGAGTGTGTCAGGGAGCGAATGTTTATTGCTTTGCTCTCCCTCCTGGACAGCCATCTGCCCCCAGCCCTGCGTGAGGAATCTCCCTCCCGCCCCACGGCTCTGCTTGGATTTCCAGGCAAACGTTCATGCAAGGGATGTCACCAACTCCTCTGCCATGAGTGAACTTGATGGAAGGGTCCCATTGCCCCCTTCCATGAGGGTTTTTGTAAAGACTGAGGTCTTCATCCATTTAGGCCAGAGGTGGAAGACACCTTTGTCTGGGTGTTTTGCTGTAGTTACTCCTTTCGTGCATGCAAAGCTCCGCCACACACTCATGGCTATGGCTCTGTGGACAAAACCCCAGGCTCCCTTCGTTCCCTGCCCCCCACCCCGCCCCTGGAATAAACAACAGCCGATTTGTAAGAGGTTTTTAATTGCATCTCGGTCTGCCATTAAGGAGTGGAATAAGGACCTCTTGTTTGTTTTCACTCACATAGGATCTGCTACATTCTCCAGACTGGTGCGGAGCCACACAGCATCGGCACGATTTGCACGCACCAGGCTTGCTTGGGTTTCCTGGCGGTTTGCACACATCATAAACAAGAGCACAAAAATCACACGACATAGACTCTACCATAAGAGGATGTGCTCCCTCTGGTCCCTCGGGGAGCGGTGGGGACATGTCACCGTGTTCAAGTCTCTGGTGGCATTCCCAGGAGTGGGGCTGGCCTGGCACAGCCCCTCTCAGGGACCTCCTAGCACAGAAGGATCCCATCCTAGCACCGCAACTGGGGACCAGGGTGTGGAACTGTCCCCATGTACAATGGCTGCTGGGTTGTCTGTGCTGAAGGTCAGAAAAGTGAGCCGGAAGGAAGAGTCCTGGGTTTCCGCCCAGCCTTTCTGCCTCAGCAAGCTCCAAGAGGCTCTTTAGAAACAGCGCCTCTAAAACAGGGGGCCCTGCCTTGTTCTGTAAAGAGCCAGACAATACAGATAGCAAATAGTTTAGGCTTTCTGGGCCACCTATAGCCGGTCATATATTTTACATATATGTAAATATATGTAAATTTTATATGTAAAATTTACATTTTACATATAAAAATGTAAAAACTGGCAAGCCATAAAAATATAGGCCCTCGGGCAGTAGTTGGCCCACCCCTGCTCTAGAACATCCCCGTGCCCTCCTTTGTCTTCTCAGCCTTAGCCTCCTCCCACTGAAGGACTCTGGCTTCCCTCTGAGTCGCCCTGAGCTGGGATCTCTCCTGTCCAGGCTTTCGCAGAGGGGGCTGGGCGGGCAGTGTTGCCCCAGGGATCTGAGTGCTGAGCCCCCTGCTGCAGCCCCAGGTGCCCCCCTCCGCCACGTGAGGCAAAGGTCTGGTTGCCTTTTAAACAAATATCAGATATTGGTCTGAGCCCTGCTCATGTGTCCTGGGGGCGAATTGGCCTTGGTGTTTCCCAGTGAGGTAGGTGCATGCGATCAGCCTCATCCACACCTGCAGATGCCGAAAGCCCAGAGCAGAACCGACCTTCCCAGCGCTGCCCGACAACCACATGTCGGAATCTAAACGAAAGCCCCAAAGTCTGGGCTTTACGTTTTCTAAGCACATGATCAGGGATTGTTCTGTCCCACCCAAGCCCAGTGACGATTCAACCCCAAAGAGAGCAAGAACCCTCATGCAAGAACACTGTCAGCCACACAGAGCTGTTTCCAGACCTCGGTGACACTCTGAAAACAGAAGGAACTCAAGCACTCCAAGCTACAGGGCTAGGTGAAGCAGCCCTCTCTGCCCTGCCGACAAGTCTCTTCAAACTAAAAATAAAGTTTATAAAAGTAAATTATCTCATTTTATAACTTAAGTGCATCAAGCATTTCCTTAAATATAGTTCACACTGAAAATAAAGTTACTTTTGCTGTACAGTGGTGTCTGTTATAATTAGGAATAAACTTTGATGATAAAGTATGAAAGGTTTACACACTCACACACGCACATCTATCTGTCTGTCTGTCTGTCTGTCTATGGTGTATAGATGGAAAGACATATGCACCTCTTGAACAAAAGCTTCCCCAAAAGGGTGGGAAGTTGTTAGGAGTCCCTAGGTATCTAGTTTGCATGAGAATGTCTAGATTAAAAGTCCCTGTCCTTAATGATAAACACATCTTCACATCTAACGCTAAGACTGTTATTAGAAACATTAAACTATGCAATCCATAATGTATTCAGTCTTTGGGAATGCCGGGCTACACCATATCGTCGTTATACAACAGCATTCCCAGCAAAACTCCCTCCCCAGCCCACCTCTTCCCTGGCCTCCCCGTCTAAAGCCAGCGACCCCTCACACAATGCGGTTGTTCTGTACGGGAGCCTAGCCACGGAACACCAGGGGAAGACTCAAGAGGTGAAGTACGAATTCTGCATGGAGTACAGGTGGTCAATGGGGTTTCCCACTCTGGACTGCAGGGGCCCGGCTTCTGAGGTTGCTAGGAAACAGTCACCCAGGTTACTGAGGGAGGTGTCGTCGCTATCCAGGTCATGGAAAAGGGGCTCTGCACCTGAAATGGAGAAGAAACACCAGCATGAGGGTCTGGAAGAAGAGACCGATTTCAGCGTGAGAAAATTCAGCTGAATTCAACAAAAGTGTTGCCCGAGCACCCCTCCCCCTCCCCGTGAAACTTTCTACTGGGTTCTGGGAAAAGAGTGGGGGTGGGGTGGAACTGCATAGAAAAGTAGGAGGGGGCACAGTCCCTGCCCACAAAACATCTATAGTCTCTGTAGGGGTCTCACGTCCAAAGTGCAACAAGTTAACACAATATAAACTAGGATATGACACAGTGCTAAATTGAGTGCAGCATAAGCAAATGTCAGAGTGTCTAGACAGGGAATGTGAGGAGCAGGCAGGACATGTCGCCAGGGGCTGGAGGGACAGAGACAGGGCTATGGGACTTGGGCCTCAAACATGGTGCTGGAAGGAGGGAAAGTAAAAAAACAAACATCGGCTCTTGGAGTGAGGCTGATGAAATCTCCCATGATATCATTTGTCTTTTCAAACAGCAAGCAGACACTCAGTGTACGCTGTTCCCCAAATATGCACTGCAGAGAAAAGGAGGGCTGGGACCCCACCCTCGACTGATCACAGGCTTGACAGAGAAGTCTGCAGGGGACACCGTGGAGCAGCTCAGGGACTGCTGCAACCTGCATGCTTTGCCCCCACTCAAGTCAAAGCTGGGAGAGGTGACAACTAGAGTTCATGGCACTTGTAATGGGGCTTTAACTATTCGTTTTACTAAAGGACTCATCACAGGCATCCTTTATGTGACAAGACCCCTGAGACCCTGAACACGTGAGAATCTGCGAAACATTCATCTGCTCCGTTTTCCCATAGCTGTGGAGAAAATTGTGATACAGACGTGACCTGTGTCTTCCAAGGAAGCCGAAGGGTGGATGTCACCGGAACGTGCACGTATATGCCTACAACTGTATCAGTGAATGAGGGGGGCCAATGAAGGCCCTGCAGAGGGCCGGATCTTAATAAAGATGTTTGCTTGCACGTGTGGCATGGGGGGGGGGGGTATGGGTGATTTTAACAACCGAGTTTTTTTTAATGAAGGCAAGAAAGAAGTCTCGAGACAAAGTCTGTGAGCTGAGGCCTGTAGCTCTGATACTAATGTTTTGAAGGCTTGCTGAATAAAACTTTGTTTTTTAATTATTAGGATAATCTGTCACAGACTACACATAGATCGATGCATTACACGCACCACTGGCCTTTCTCTGTTTAAAAAGGGAGCAGCCTGCATTTGGCGCTGAGGGTGAACTTGAACGTTCACTCCCGAGTTCACCCCACCCCACCTGGCTCTCCCGGCCCCCCCAGCCTGTCCATCGGCTGAAGCAGCAAGCTGGGCAAGTGGGAAGGCTCGGCCACCCACACACAGCATCCAAATCAACCCCAGTTTGGGTGAGATGGGTATAAGGGAGATACTAACAAGTCAGTTTATGTTTCATGAATTAAATTAGAGCACCTACTAGTATCCATAGTAGGGTAGTCCAGTTAGAAAATTTGTTTTCTATGCTTTTTATGTATTTTCTTTCTTTACATAAATGTTTGCTTAATTAAGGCCTTCTGCCTGTACCAGCCCCGATATTGCTTGCAAATCTGTCAGTGTGGGATCTGGCATGAAACACAAGACTGTGGAATCCAGTGACAACAAACAGGGGCCAGGATGAAAGTGCAATGTTCCATATAAAAGCAAGAGACAAGAAGCTTTGAAAACAAGAATAGACGGAAGCATCACTAACGAATATGCCACGTGGCTCTTCCTTCTGCAGTCACTGGCTAGGACCGCTAGGTGAGTCAGGTGGTATTTCGTGGGGTGCTTATTCTGCTTTGGGGCTTCGGCGAGCATCTAGGAACTGCGTACGTGTGCCTGGGAGGAAATGAGAAACCCATTCGTGAGAGGGCCCGTGCGGCTTGGGTCCCTCTTACCATAGGGGTGCATGTGGTCTCCAGGCATCTGGGGCGGGGTGAGACCCTGTCGGAAGGGATCCGAGCTGTAGACGCTCTGCTCGATGGCCAGGATCTGCTGCGGGGTGGGCAGGGCCGTGTAGGGGTTCATGATCCCTTCCATGCCGGCACTGCCGCCACCATTCGTCTGAGCTGTGGGACAGAGAGGAAGGCAGGTCATTCTCAACGTACAGCCCAGCGTGTCACTCCCCTGGGTCCTGGTTTCCTCACTTACGAACTGGAAGGGGATGAGGGGGACATCGGTGGGAGCCAGCCTGTGCCCACCAAAGGCCATCAGGGATCACCTTGGAGGGAAGGATGGGTGCGGGCTGGGCAGCTAAACCCTGAGAACATCCTTGAAACATGCCATTTAAACAAAGGGCTGTGACGCTGTGCACAGGTTTGGCAGCCCCTGGGGCGGATGAATATGAGGATCCTTCCTGCAAGAACCCACTGTGAGCCTACCAGGCAAGTGGAAATCGTGCCGCTGGCCCAGCTGACCTCAACGGCCGATCTGAAGATTCCCTAAGCTCGTGCGGACGGGCTTTGGAACCACACCTTGCTACACTCGCGCACAGAGGGTTATGAGAAAAGGAGGACTGGGTTCTTGCCTCCACATCTTGTTCTGGTCCTCTAAACATGAGGAGAATAGAGACTCTGTTTCCTACCACCCTCTGCTTTCTTGAGTCCACCCTAGTACCTGCTCTTACAGTTCTTTAAATAAAGTCCCAAGCACTGTGAGTTTGTGTTCTCAAACACCATGATCCCAGGTAATTTACATGCACGTTAAAATGGGAGAAGCCCTGCTCTGCAAAATAGACCACTCGAGGAATTCTCCTGGATGGCTGAGTTCGGGGGCATATCTTTTTAAGAATGGCATTGCTCTAATATAGTTATTCCTGGTTTTATTTTCCTTTTAACTTCCTTAAAGACTCCCACAACCTGTCCTTCTTCACCCTTCTCCATGATCTTCACACCACCTTTATTTATTTATTTATTTATTTATTTATTTTAAAGGGTCCGCCTGGGTAGAGGTGAGTTAAGGGAGAACAGCCTAGGGGAACACAGAGTCAGAGTTCTAGTCCCGGCCCCATCCCTTACTGATACAGGAATGTATTCGGTCTTGCAGAGCCTTTGTTTGCCCATCTGTGAGGTGGGCATAATAATAACTTCTCCACTCGCCTCAGAAGGCGGGTGCTATAAGAGTAAAGTCAGCATATGTGCTAACACTGTGTGAGCTATAAACGTGCTCCACAAAGGAGGGGAGTATTATTTTGCTATCATTATTTTTGCTATTTTTATATTATTTTTGAAAGGGATACATCATAGCACTGTGTCTTCTTTTTTTTTTTTTTTTAATTCTTTCTAGAGACAGAGTCTCACTCTGTGTTGGAATGCAGTGGTGGGATCAGAGCTCACTGCAGCCTTGAACTCCTGGGCTCAAGGGATCGTCTTGTCTCAACCTTCCAGGTAGCTAGGACGACAGGCACATGCCACCACGCCTGGCTAATTTTTAATTTTCTGTAGAGACGGGGTCCTGCTTTTTGCCCAGGCTGGTTTTGAACTCCCGGCTTCAAGCGATCCTCCCATCTCGGCCTCCCAAAGTGCTAGGATTATAGGCATGAGCCACCGTGCCCAGCCAAGTGATGTCTTCTATTAAACTGATTGGCCTTGAAAAAAAACTGAGCAAGGCAAGAAATTGGACATGTCTATGACTGCACATAGCCCTGACACACTCCCCTGACTGTGTGGTGGGACCCAGGCACAGGGGGCTCCTCCAATCTGCAGTTCTGGGCCTGCAGCCCAGGCGCCCCCAACCCCCTCAGGAGTTCCTCATGGCTCAGTCCTCGCTTGAAGGCCTCATCTCTCCAGTGGGTGTGAACTGGGCTTCTCTGAGTCCAGACATGTCATTCAAAGAGCTGGGTGGTGGGAGACCTGTGGTGGCAGGAGTGGCCTGGACTCCAGCAGGGACCAGCCGGGGAGGAGCTGCCGGCTTACCAGAACTCAGCCTCTGCGTGTTCTGTTGATCTTGCTGCTGCTGCTGCTGCCGCCTGGCCAGCTTCTTCATCTGGTGAGGAGAGGACCACAGGATTAGAAGTCAGGTGACCTGTGGCAGGTGCACGCGGTAAGGGGGAAGCCGGAAGTGACACCTTCCCCATGCGAGGGCTGGTGTGTAAAGCAGAGGGACGATTTCCCTGGCTTTTACTCAGTAAGGGAGCCGCATTTGAGCAGTTGAAGTTTAAGGCATCTCAGCTGACAGCTCCTCTACCTTGGTGGTGCAGCTTATCTTAGCAAGAACAGGGATTTCCTTCCCCCAAGTAAATAAAACTTGCTGCCTGTGCTGTGACAACGTTACATGAGGGAATAAGTGTGTGACTATGGGGTCTGCAGCCCAGCCTAGACTTACAGAGCAAGGGGCTGCCAATAGGGTGTGACTTAGGATACAACAAGAGGCTGTTCCCCTCCCATCTCCTGTCTGCTGGCCCTTGTGTTTGACATGAGCCTACCTAGAGATTCATGCCTCTGCGTAAGGAGCTTTGTCTCCCAAAGCACCCTGTTAACACACAAACTTCCTTGAAGGAACATTCTAACTCAATGTTTCTCAAACTGTGTTCCATGGAACACTAGGGTTCCATGAGATGTTAATTTATATTGAGTGTGTGTGTGTGTGTGTGTCGAAAACATCAGATTTTTCTTAAATTTCTTTATTGCAAGATTTCTCAGAGCTATAAATGTGCTCCTCTGCTGTATGAATCCATAGGCTATAGGGCCTCTCAAACTTATTGCACCATGGAGTCTTTTTCTGGTGGGCTAACACATCAATAGCCCTATTCTGAGGAATTCAGTTGGGGAAATGCTACGTTAGCCAATCATGATAAAATAATGAGATAGTAATTTATCACCTGTGCTATTGTAAAATATATATTTGGTCTTTAACCCTGTTTCCTGGCATACAACTCCAAAAGTTTTTGCAATCTCCAAAGTGATATCTTCTTGTATGCTAATGATTGACTGATGGCTGGCAGCCCCTACATAGCTTAAGGATGGGTGCTGGTCACCAGAAAGATCAAGGCAGGATTAGAGGATTGGAACTTTCAGCCCCACCCCCAGCCTCCAAGGAGGGGAAAGAAGGCTAAAGTTAAGTTGATCATGAATGGCCAATGGTTTAATTAATCATGTCTATACAATGAATCTTCCATAAAAACCCAAAAGGACAGGGTTCAGAGAGCTTCCAGATAGCTGAATACATGGAAGTTCTGGAGGGTGGTTCACCTGGGGAGGGCATGAAAGCTCTCCACCCCTCCCCCTACTTCTCACTCTATGCATCTTTTCATCATTTCCTTTGTAATGCCCTTTATAATAACCCAGCAAGTGTAAGTAAGTGTTTCCTGAGTTCTGTGAGCAGCTCTATCCAATTAATGGAACCTTAGGAGTGGGTTGTGGGATCCCAATTCATAGCCAGTGGATGAGAAGCACAGGCCACAACCCGGGTCTTGCAAATGCCAATTGGGGTTAGGGGGGACAGTCTTGGGAACTGAGCCCTCAACCTGTTGGATCTGACGCCATCTCTGGGTAGATGGTGTTGGAATTGAACTGAGTTGGAGGAAAGCCAGCTGGTGTCCAAGGCAAAATTGACTGCTTGCCTGGTGTGTGGGGAAAGACACCCCCCCCAATTTGGTCACAGGCGTGTTCTGTGTCGATTGTTGTATTATGAAAACAGAGTGAAAATAGAGGGGGTTTTTCCTCACATCACCCACTAAAGATCAGGGCCCTAGAGAAATAGGCCACAGGGCACACATAATTTTAGAGGTAGGAAGAAAGATGAGTAAAAATTATAAAACAAAGACTGTGATGCAGGAATACAGCCCGTGGTAGGGGCAAGAGGGCAGTATGACAATTGGCCTAGGGCAGAGAGGGCTGGCCTGGGAGAGATGAGTGAAGGCATTCATTCCACCACCACCAAGTCATAATGTTATCTTAGACCTATCTATGTGTGTGACTTGGGTTTCTCTTTGAAATGAAAAAAAACAAAACAAAACAAAAAAACACTTTGATATCTGGATTAAATAAATGTGAATTACAGAACATGCTTTAACCAAAAGACACAGAAAATATTCATACAGATGGCTGGCCAGATTCACAGTCATGGCCACTAGGAAAAAAACAAACAAACAAACAAACATTTAACTAAAACAAATGCCTAGTCTCTCCCCTTCTGCAGGGCTGCTGTGGCTGAAATGATTGTTGATAACAGAATTTTTGAATCAAGAGAACTATTCTATCCAAAGAGTTCAGATTAGAAAACCTGGCAATGAGTACAATGTCCTGCTGCAACGTCCCCAGCAACAAAGGGACAGACAAAAAAGTAATAAGCGGGTTACCTTAGCTCTCTGGTTCTGGAACCACACCTGGACGACGCGGACGCTCAGCCCTGTCTCTGCAGCCAGAGTCTCCCTCACCTTGAAAACATTGAACATTAGAAATATGGAAACATTGCCATCTCAGGGTAGGAGGCAGAACATTTTCTGTATAGTGTACGGGGAGGCCAACAGACTGTGTCTCATGTAGGCGCTGGCTAGTGTTTAATGTCCGGCATAAACTCAAACACAACGATGCTTCCCTTCCAGTAGAGAGCCTTTCACCAGGTAAACAAAAAAAAGAAACGGTCATGGTCATTAATTTAGATGCTCATTACCAAAAGGTGTTTCTAGATTTCTCTTACTCTGGAAATTAGGGAAGTCTATTGCTACGCTTTAGCTATAGGCCACGCATAAACATTAACCTTCTTAAGGAAAAATGAGAGTAAAAATCACCTTGCCAAAACAAATGGTTCTCTCTTGCTCTCTTCTCTTTCCTAACTTCATTGACTTATCTTTTTTGGTTCTGTCTCTAGGTGACTTTGGGTGTTTCAGGAATATTCATATTCACTGTTATACTGAGTAAGCCCTGCCCAAGGAGAATAAGACGAGAATAATCCGGAATGTGGCAGAGCCAGGTTGTCAGCTCTGATGCAGACACAGGTACTGGGGCGTGCAGAGACGGGACAAGTGCGATCCGGCTAATAAAAAGATGTGTTTAAACATCTGCCCACCATACAGGCGCCTAGTGAGGGGCTGCTAAGGTGTCGAGAAGAGATAGGGCAAGAAGCACAGATTTTCAAAGGGTGGGTCTAAGAGACACTGCCCCCTTTTGATTAGATTCTGGGATGGGATTGAAAGAGCTCCTTGAATAAACACGTGAGCAGAGCAAACCGGAGGCCTTGGGAAATATGTCGCCTTTGTCATGACGCTTGGGCTGAGGCTTAGGAGCAGTAGGATGATTCGAGCAGGTTTTTAAAGCACATCCTTCTGCTAAGCCAACTAAAATAGGAGTGCACACAGGGGCCCGCCTCCACCTGCTGAAACCCTATCCATTCGTCGGAGGCCCAGCTCAAAAGCCACCTGTTCCACAAAGCCTTGCCTGATTCCCCAGACCAAAGTGGCCTTTCCCTTCCCTGCGGCTCCCAGCTGCCCCTCTGCTGTGGTCCTCAGAGCTCTCTCTCTCTCTGGTGTTACAGTAAACGTATGCCCCTGCATCTCCTCCTTGCTGGCTGCCTGGAAGCTTCCTGGAGACGAGCACCCAGCACAAGCCCATGCTGACGCTGAGAGTTCAGTACACATGGAATAAGTAAGCAAGTGATGAAGGCTATAATTTGTCCCGCAGCAAGCCCACCTTGGAGTATTTCACTTTCTGCCAGTACCTTCCTTGGAGCATAGAGAGCTGCAAGCGTGGGGAAGCAAAGAGTTTGCAGGTGAATCTTTTCAAAGGTCAGCAGTTGTGGCAGACTGTACTATTGTTCAACAAGTATCTATCCTTCCCTCCTCTGCTCCATGAAGGGTGTATGTTTCACCACCACACCCACGTCGGGCTAAGCCCATGCCTTGCTCTGGCCCATGTGATACCCAGTGAGAGGTTTCCAGTGGGCCTCCTGCTTTGGCTTGGCCTCCTGCCATCCTCAGGAGAACAGCATGCATCAGGAGGGCGCTGCTCTTGCAGCCTGGACCTTCGAAGAAGAGGCAGGCGGAGGGGCCTGAACCTGAGCCCTGCTGGGCCACAGCCAATGCACAGTCCCAGAGAAGGAAATAAATGTTCGTTGGGAGCCACTAAGACTTTGGGTTGTTTCTTAATCACAGCCAAAGCTGACTACTACAAATAGGGATGCAGACAATGCTAAAAAAATTTTTATAGTGTATTTCCCTTATGAATTTCAATAAAGAATATTCTTTCTCTTCCTTTTATTGTGTAAAAGGTAGTACCCAGCATATGGTAGGCAATCAATAAATGGCAAGTACTCAATAAATGGGCACAGCTATGTGTGGCAGAGACAGCTAATTGTCCCCAATATCCATTCTCTCCTTCCTCCAATCGGCAATTGAATCCCTAAGTATTAGCAGGCCATGTGGTCACCTAGATAGACTCATTTCCCAGCTTCCCTTGCAGGGGTTGTGTCTACAGGATCAAATTTTGGCCAATACATACGAGTGGAAGTGATTTGAGTAGTCCCTGGGTATGTCCTTAAAAATGCAGCTGCACTCCACTTCCTCTTTTCACACCCTGGTGGCTGGAAACATGGTGACAACTAGAGCAGGCCTTTGGACCCATGTGAGGGATGACAGAGCCACCCCACCAGTCTTGACCTGCTCATCTCCCGACTTTGACATAAGAGAAGAATAAATTCCCATCTCATTGAGCCACTGTATTTTTTTTTACACAAGTGTTCACAGCAACCCTATTTTTAACAGCCCCAAATGGATACAACCCAAATGCCCATCAATAGGTGAATGGAGAAGCCAACCATGGCATGTCCATACAGCACGATACCATTCAAGAACAAAAAAGGAATGAACCACAACTTGGATGAATCCCTAATTCACTCCACCAAGTGGAACAAGCCAGACAAAAAAAAGAGTACATACTGCAAGCCACTGTACTTTTATAGGCTTTGTTACAGCGTCTTGGTCTACATCATGACTGGTACCTATTATCATTATTACTATTCCCACGGCTCTCCAGGAAATAAAGGTGTGAGCCAGGGCCATCTGGAGTCGGGATACATGCATGAAAAGCATGAGGAGACTCCAGTACATCCCTGGCCATAGATTAACGATCCCTAGAGTCTCCAACGGGGCTCAAGGCCACCTGCACAGGCTCCGTCTGAACAGCCCTCCTTACTTCTCTGACCCCCACATGCCCACTGAGATCCCAGAGGAGAAGTGGACCCAGTTCTCCTTCCTCCCCTCTTCCCTCCTGTACCTTCCTGCAGGGCTTGGAGGACACTTCAAACGAGGCCTTGAAAGCTCTCCTCTGCTGGGTTGTCAAGATGGTCCTGGGACGTTTGGGGCGTTTGTGGTCCTTGCCATCCTCAGTAGCTCCTTTCCCTGCCCCATGGGCTGACTTGCAAAGACTTTCTTCATCGTCACTTTTACCTAAAAGGAGCAAAAAGCAATGCTGTGAATCCCAAAATCCACTTCCTAGAGCTATATGTTATTCCATAACAAGGCTCTTGGGTCCACATTCCTGGGATGGCTTTATGTAAGAGTACAACAACCTGGCCGGGCGTGGTAGCTCACGCCTGTAATCCTAGCACTCTGGGAGGCCAAGGTGGGAGGATTGCTCGAGGTCAGGAGTTTGAAGCCAGCCTGAGCAAGAGCGAGACCCCGTCTCTACTAAAAATAGAAAGAAACTAATTGGCCAACTAATATATATAGAGAAAAAATTAGCCGGGCATGGTGGCGCATGCCTGTAGTCCCAGCTACTTGGGAGGCTGAGGCAGGAGGATTGCTTGAGCCCAGGAGTTTGAGGTTGCTGTGAGCTAGGCTGACGCCACGGCACCAGCTCTGGCCTGGGCAACAAAGCGAGACTCTGTCTCAAAAAAAACAAAAGAGTGCAACAACCTATGTGCACTGATTTGGAAGCTTCCAGGAAGGCTCTTAGAATAAGCTTCTAAAACCCAAAGGCAGGAACCAGAACACCTACGTTACACCTCAGGACTTCAACACAGTATGACATCCTAGTTCAGAGGTCCTCAAACTTTTTAAACAGGGGGCCAGTTCACTGTCTCTCAGATCGTTGGAGGGCCGTTGGAGAGTGCGGCACACATTTCACACATGCGCACTGTGGGCCCAGGACGAGTTGGCTGCTAAACAGGACAGGCAGTGGCAGCAAAAACACCCAGCAGGCCTGATAAATGTCCTCGGCGGGCCGCATATGGCCCGCGGGCCATAGTTTGAGGACACCTGTCCTAGCTCCACTTTAACCAGCTGTGTGGCCTTGAGCAAGTTACTTAATTCTCTGACTCACTTTACTCATCTGCAAAATAGTGACATAGGACAACCCACTCCATTGGAGTTGTTGTGAGGATTGAATGAGTTTATACCAATAAGACACTCACGGTGCTGCTTTGCTTATAGTGAGTTCTCAGTAAGTATTGGTTATTAATATTATTTCTTAGATTATCATTTTTCAAGACTAGGCCTGGAGAAGTTACTTGCAACTTCCTAGATACTACGTCTGAAATTCTGGCCACTGGCAGGTGGTAGAAAATGCTACTGTTTAAAAGGCCACAGAGAACAAGCATTAGAACACCTACAGGTGCAGACAACTGAGTATGGACAGATAACTCTAATAATTAGTCAAAATTTCTTATCTGTAAAGTAAATAACTCTCTGTTAAAGTGACTACAATTATGTGAATTACTTCAACTCTATAAGCGGTGGGCAGTGTCAGGGGTAACTTCTAAAGGAAATGAAGCCCCCAGTAGGCACCACCTTCTTTTCCAGGGTACCTTGTGCAGCCCACAGACGTCTCACCCATGAGGAGGAGCTTCTAGGGTCTGGGAAACACCCTACTGAGAGAGACTTCTTTTTCCCTTTGGCGTTAAAAGCCGTAGGTAGTTGTATGCCGAAGTGATCCTAAGAAGACCCTCATTTATCTCTGGATCCTCACAGAGCTCAGCTGTCCTCCTTCCTCCAGTGAAAACCTTCGCCCAAGAGCTTTCCCTGTGCCAGCCCCGCCCGGCCACCTCGAGAAAGCCAAGATGAGGGACCCACTGCGTGTGAGCTACGCATCCTTTTCCTTCACTCCCGCCCTGCTCGGTAAAAGATGCTCATTTGCACGTGCTGTTTTAGTTTCGACATTAGCTGAGTTCTCATTTCTGGCTCCACCAGAGCCCCAAAGCTTATTTTTATCTGAAAGGACAATGGCTTCTTCTTTCTAGGAACATTTAAACATACAAGTTTGAAAGTGAAAGGAACACCACACTGTGAGTTCTTGAGGACATGACTGTTTTAATGTAATTGAAAATGGGCTGAGGTTTGCAGACCTGGGTTTCCATCCCAGTTCTGCCCCCTCGTTATAAGTACAGCCCCATGCAAGTCACGTCATGTCACTGACCCCCCCCCTCACCTGCATGAAGAAGACAAGAACACCCAGCCCGTGGGTGTCACAGAAGTAGTGCTGTTATATGGGTCCCTCATCTTGGCTTTCTCGAAAAGCAGCTAGCATGGTCCTGGCACATGGACAGCTTGCAATTGAGGTTGGGAAAAGGATGTCTTTTCCCTCTACCCCATCCTTCTCAATAGCACAGATTTAAAAAAAAAACCCAAAAGATTAAAGAAGAGAGTTAAACAAGAGTCCTCATGATGAGGCGTGGCTACTCTGGCATCTCACTCTGAGGTTGCTTTTTTCCAGGGGTGATGCAATAAGAGGATCTCAGTCTCACCTGGGCAGCAAGGGTTGCAAAATCTTTCTGGAAGGAGGTTTTCCAGAATGGCCAGGAAAAAACAAGCACTTAAGAACTAAAAGCCTCAGGAAAATAAGAAGATCTCACAAGAGGATAAAAGGTAGAAAAAAGAAAGCCACGGGTAGGCCCTTAGTAGGCCCACCCATCCCACTAGTGGGAGACTCCCCAAATCCCAGTGTGAGGCCAAGAATTCTCAGGAAGGTGGACTCCCCAGAGTGAAAAGGATGTTCCTTTGGCCCTGGTGATGCCTTCAGTGACATTTCTGAGGAAATGGGGCTAACACCCCACCCTGAGGATCTTGCGGATCTCCAGCGAGGCAGGTGATGCAAAGAGACTGAATAGCAAGTGAGGGCTGAGCAATGCCCAGTGTAGAACACACTTGCAATGTAAAACATAAAGTGCAATTTTATTATCTGCAAAAACCTCATGTCTTTTGCTGGTTTTGTCAACAAAATGGTACTTGCAAATGTCTCAGGAAGTCAGTCTGATTCTTTTACAGTCATTCCTCCAATAGTTTGACGCCAATGTATAGGGATAAGTGGGGATAATGTAACTAATGAAAATGTAAAGTCTAATATAATGATCATGGTTTGGATGTGTTGACACCATCTAGGAAAGCAATGTGACATGGCACATACAAGCGTGAGTTTGGAGTCATATAAACTCAAGTTTAAATTCTGGTTCTAACAGTTAATATGTGTGATTTAGAACACATTCTCAAAACTCAATTTTCTCATCAGGGAAATCAACAGTGCTATTTGGAATTATTAAATGAGATGATGTATGTAAAGGGTTTGGCACCATCCAGAAGAGACTGGTGCTCAATAAATAACAATCATCATCACTATTATTATTCCAACATAAAAGATGTATTCTTGGTCCTAGACACACGTTTTCAGTTAATGGCAATCTCCTATCAATGGAGGATCTGAGTTAAGTTTTAACACTACAAGTGTTCATTTCCCTGTCTTGCAGAAATAACCCTGGCCAATACAGAGAGCCAGTGCAATGTGAGTGTGTGAGTGCTTGTGAGAAGACAGAGAAAGAGAGGGAGCTAGGGCTTGTTCTAGAAGGAAGGTATGATTTCTGCAGTTTGTTTGGAGCCACAGAGGCAGGATGGCTGAGGGCCAACTGGGGTCCTCCTGCTGCTGTCGCTGTACTCGGCCTTGCCCGGGACGTGTGTGCATCTCCAAAGAGCTGCTGTCCCATCATGAGCCGATGGAGAAGTGGGAAGGAGAACCACTTTCTAGGCTCACCATCGGTGCCCAGTTTTGGAGGACATAGAGAGCTGCTTCTTCATCCTCTCCACACCCTTGTGAGAAGAGAGAGAGGAAAGTGTATTTGTTTTTAGAAGGAGGAGCAGGAGGAGGGGAGGGAAAGAAGAAGGGGAAGGAGAAAGAAAAGAAGGAGGAAGAGAACGAGAAGTGGTAGCTGTAGTGGTTCGTTTGTGGAGTGTTTCTGACAGTTTCATGGTACATTTTCTCCCTCTGATTCCTCCTTTCTGCTGTTCAATATCTCATGCTCTCTTCTATTTCTTCAGGACCCCCATTTTGCATTCTAAGAAGCACTTCATGCTCTATAGCAGGAGCCTACAAATTTGCTCTGTAAAATGCCAGAGAGTTAATAGTTTAGTCCTTGCAGGCCTTATGGTCTGTAGTGCAACTACTCCACTCTGCCATTGTAGCACAAAAGCAGCCGCCGCAGACAATATGAATGGGCATGGCTGTGTTCCAATAAAACTATATTTCAAACACAGGCACCAAGCCAGATTTGGCCTGCATACCATAGTGCGCTCACCCCTGCCCTAGACCTCTCCTGACCTCCTGCTCTCCATCAAAACTCACACAATCCCAAGTCCCATTCTTTCCGGCTCTGACTGCAGGCAGGAAGCACTGCTCCTCTGATGCACTGCGGAGCCCGTGGTTAGAACGGTTTGATGTGTTCTCTCCCACGGTCAATAACATATAAACATTTAATAGGAAATGCATCTACCCTAATAGTCACCAACGTGGAATTTCAGGTGTCCTGGCTCATCCTAGCAAGAGAGACTCTGAAGATAGAGGGATGGGAGAGCCTCTTGGCACCTCTCAAAGTACAGACAGCTGCCACTAGCCAGCTGCCACCAGGCATGCGGACCGTCACCGACCATCACCCAGCTTCTGTCCACTGCGTTGTCAACATCGTGGGCATAATGGCATGCTCTGCCTCTCTTGGGGAATTTCCAAGCTGCTCCTGGAGTGTTCAGGCTCCCGTCTTCTCTTTCCGCAGGGGCAGGCCCTGCCTGGCTTGGATCCCGACTTCTGCTTGAAAACATGCAGACCCTAAGATATGCACTTATCAATTTGCCCAAGAGAAAGGAACATTCTAAAAGAGCTGGGAGATTTCTCTCAGAATCAGCAGGAGAACTGGAGGGACGGGGGAAAAAAAACTTACAAGAGCAGAGATGCACAGCGGAGGGAGGGAGCGGCCCCTCTGCTGCGGAGACTCCCACACCCAGATGCAGGCCGCAGCGATCCCTCATAATTTAAGCTGACACCCCTCAGCGGAGATGAAAGGAACACCACTCGCTGCTCTCTGACAACAAATGTCAGCATCCCTGGAGGCCATTTAGGCACAGACGCGGCATAAATCTGACTCCTAGCGGGGAAGTCCAGAGATCAAGTCTCCACGCACAGCCTACCAGAG